CATGAACAATTAAATATCCAATAACACCTGATACCGATAAATTTAAATAAAATCTCTAATTTTCCATATTCTTAATCAGACCAGCCAAATGAGCTGAAAACAAAAAGGGTTTTTGGGTTTGAATTCACTCCAAAGTCCATCAAAGTTAAAAGTTTCACTCAATTAGACAACAAGTAAACATATTTTTCACATATTCACTCATTCAGACTAAGAAGAGCTTGTTGCTCTGGCCTGACCGCTGCTGTGAAGCCCATGCTGTCAGAATGTGTGATAGCTTTTATGAAACTGGAGGTTTTGCATGTTTTGTAGTTGCTGGTCTATTTGAATATAATCAGCAGGTGAAGAATAGACTTCATCTGTGCTTAAAAGTGAGAGAGTCTGCAGGACTTAAACTGTAGGAATGCATTTGGTTGAGTGATTTTTGAGCCAGTGCTATTTTCTTTTGAAGCAGCTCTGACTGTATCGTTGAGGATACTCCACAGTAAATTAAATCTAAAGCCAACAGCAGCTGTATAATTTTGAGGCTGCGGTGAGCCGCTGCAGTTCTGAGGGTTCACCGGGTACAAACCCCTGACGTAAATCAAATTTCTTCTGGTTTGAACCATGCCTCTAATTCATCCCCAGAAGCATGCTGGACAGACTGCGCTGAAATGATGACACATAAGCAATTAAAAAAGGGAAGTGGATGGGCGGGAGATTTATTGCTGACAGATATATGGGAGAATGATTTACTCCTCTCAGGCCTTCTTCAACAGATTGACTTAAACCATTTAAACACATAATCACTCCTGGGGACCCGACATGAAATCTAATCTAATGAAAGCTTTAAATTGGTGCCAGATAAGCCATGTAGAATTAGCAGAATAGCTCAAAAGCCATAACAAGTTACAACCGTTTTGAGACTACAATGCACAAATATGTCTCTAATCTAATTAGTGGTTCGGTAAACATAATGAATCATTTATTCAATGTGGTTAAATTCCCCAAAACAGCCATTCAGCCTAATTAGCATCTTGTTTTGTTCAAGGCAAACAGCTTTTTCAAAATCGTTAGAGCTAAAGGCACAGCACGAAAGAAAGAGAACATGAAATGATGTTGTAGAGTAAAATGTTAATATTAAATCAATCCTTCATGATTATATTTTAAAATAAAATCTGTAAATCAAAGTGGCATTGTATGTTTAAACTTTTTTTCCTTTTCAGGACAAATCTAAAGATGCAAAGAGCTGCCACAGCATCCGTGACCCAGTCCACAACCACACAGAACACCACAGTCGTCACCAAGTCTAGAGAACAAATCCTCACGCAGAGTAAGTTTCAAATCTGTACTTTATACAAATAAATCTGACACCCTGTTTACATCAAACGTGAATGCAGTGACGCCACATGGCAAAAGCAAATAGAACCCATTATAATCAGTGATTCTGTCTACGCTGGATGCCCACTGGATTCTATTTCTGTCGTACTCCATGCGTTTGCGTGACTTCTGACATGAAGGATTTGAAAAGCTCATTTTGACAGACCCAGTGTAGACGGTCTCAAGCTGACACTGTGTAAGAGTGAGAAATCTAGAAACATGAGCAATTTGAACGCCTCACTTCCTGGAACCTGTTCTACAACGTATTTGAAATAATTCATATTCAATTTTGTATTGCATATTCTATTATCGTTTTCCACAATTTGTTATCAAATTAACTTTAAATGTGTCCTTATTGATGTTTTATTACGTTAGATTTTCTTCATGTAGAATATTTTTTCTTGCCGTTTTGGCTTTATTCATGTTTATGTTTTCATTGAATGATTAATAGGGGGAATTTGTGGTCTTCCCAACCCCTAATATGTCTAATAAAACATTCCCTATTTATTGTGTTCACAGGCTCAGGAGCCATGATCGCTGTAATCGTCATTGGTATAATCATCATTCTCACATTTTTGCTGATAGTCCTCAAGACGTACAACAGGTATAGCAACATTTTGATGTGAACCTTAATGAATGAGTTACATACCATGAGGTGAACACCTTGTCTATCTCGACCCAATAGCAGGACAATTTTAGACAGCCATTGTAATGAGGCCTAAAACTAGATAAAGACCTATGTTTCAACCAGGCTCACACTACATTCTCCAAAACTATTAGAGGACAAGAACACTTACAAATGTTTTCAGGGCTGAAAGACTTCTGTTTCATAATGAGTTGATTTATGTTTAGAATTTAAAGTATGCACCAGTATTAAAATCATTATTAATAGGCAGATATTTTTTTTTCATGTTATGGCCAGTAACTAAACAAATGCCAATATTAAAATTAGTGTTTTGCAATGTGAATGTTTTTTAAATGTAAACAGAGGAAATGAACATGAACAGTTAAATATCCAATAGCTATGCCACTCAATTCTGATCATCAATATGCTACCCATCATTTTTATTTTTAAAACATTTTTTTATCAATCCATTTTTATAATCATTTAATCTGACAGGAGGACTCATGCGAACAGGATGCTGGCTGGAGGCTCCAGCAAACCACGAAAGAAGGTGTCCTCAACTACCACAAACACAAACCTGGCCATGAGCAATGTGGGTGTGAGCTCAGTCTCTGGAAGCTTTGTGCAGTCCTCAGAGAATGGGTACCGCATTCCTTGGGTCGACCTGGCAAACGTGGACCGGAGTAATGGGGAGCATTTCAGCACCAACAGCGGTTCAACTATTGTGACGATACATGACATGCCATCAGTAGATAACACATAGCAGACATTGTCTGGACTCACACGTGCCAAGATACTAACATACCAACATGAACAAAGAAGCAATGGAAGAGGCCTGGTCATATTTAAGCATCTGCCATTAACTGAACATTCACTGCCCGTGATTTCTCATATTATGGAACTTTGATAAAAGTCCACTTTAAAAAAAAAAGTCTGTATATGATAATGAAGAACCTGAGGAACACTTCAGACAACTGTCCTACCACTTGACATGATTATGGTTTTATTTTTAGCACTGGATTTGGTAATGAAATGTAGGTTAAAACATATACTGCCTTGAGCTGAAAACTTTTTCTTAAAAATGGAATTGGTGAGACCCAGAATTCGGTTAGAGATGATAAGGATGCCCGTTAATTTAACTTGTGTATTACCATGACATTTGCACTCGGAAAAGTGGAAAATGGAAAAGTCTCTCATAAAAGATTGTTCAAACGATATACTGTTTTACCACTCTGTGGTATACTTTACATTTATGCGTTTGACAGACGCTGATCCTATGCAGCTTAGCTTGCATTAAAAGTATGTATTTTGTTTATACAGTCCCTGGGACTCAAACCCATGACCTTGATATTGATAGCGATTTTAGGCATCCAGACTAAAATGCTATTGGTGACTCGGGAAAACACTGTGCATAAATATTAAGTATCTTCAGATGTTACCTTGTGAGCTGGTGTTGATTACATCTTTAGAGGTGCTGGCATTTCCTGCATGAAACAACCACAATGCCCAATTCACTAACAAATGTGTCCCTGGACCACAAAACCAGTCTTAAGTCGCTGGGGTATATTTTTAGCAATAGCCAAAAATACATTGTATGAGTCAAAATTATAGATTTTTCTTTTATGCCAAAAATCATTAGGATATTAAGTAAAGATCATGTTCCATGAAGATATTTTGTAAATGTCCTACTGTAAATATATCAAAACTTAATTTTTGATTAGTAATATGCATTGCTAAGAACTTCATTTGAACAACTTTAAAGGCAATTTTCTCAATATTTAGATTTTTTTTGCACCCTCAGATTCCAGATTTTCAAATAGTTGTATCTCGGCCAAATATTGTCCTATCCTAACAAACCATACATCAACGGAAAGCGTATTTATTCAGCTTTCAGAAGATGTATAAATCTCAGTTTCGAAAAATTGACCCTTATGACTGGTTTTGTGGTCCAGGGTCACAAATGTTCTTTTTAAGGAGTCAACTGAAAAGATTTAATTCACCCTAAACTTGTTTGCGGTTTCAATCAGACTTAGTCAGTGAATCTTTTAGAACTATTACTGAGTTTGCAGCTGATTACATCAATGAATCATGAATCGTTTATCAGTCAGATTTAAAATGAACCAGGAACCACTGCTTTTTAAACATAAATATACAGTTATTATATACAAAAGTTATTCAGATATTTTTTTCAAAATCAACTATTTAAAATGTGGAATGTATTTAAAATTCAATCAGATTCACTACAATGACAGCGTCAAATGGGAACTAAACCACTTTTGTAATTTGTCAACCAAAAATAGTAATATGATTTCCAAATATGGTTTAATTGAAGGAGCCAATGTCTATCATTTGCCAATTTTTAGTCTGAAGCCCTGTTTGAGAAATAATGCAGAAAACTTCAACTTTCCTCTCAAGGAATCCAGACATCTCCAGAAGTAACCTCAAGAAAATTTATTCACAATCTGCAACAAAACTAAAGTATTGCATAAGAATAAAAGAAAAAGAAAGGAGAAAAATACAGCAGCGCTTGATTATATAAACATGTAGAAACATTTTTTTTCTGTGAACAGTTATACCAAGCTCTCTGGCTAATGTTCTAGTGCAACATCTCAACAAAAACACTCAGGCACAAGATAAACTTTTTCTCAAGGAGATCAACTCACATTTTGCATGAGAAAAGACATTTACAGCTATAAAGGAAAGATGCAAGAACACATACTTTGAGTACTACTCCAAGGCAACCATGTCAAAAAGATCAGTCCTTTCAACGCAACAAGTGTCTTCTTTAGAACTATGATAGTGTCTTGTGTTATTTCATATCAAGTGCAAATATGAATTCAAAGTAGTGGATACTGGAAGTAAATGATTGTTAAAAGCCTTCCTGAACAGAGCTGCGAATGGCGTTCACTGTGTGTCATAAGGTCATCATACCGAGTGTGGATTTGTCTGTCTGCATCTACATACTGAGTCCATTTATTGCTGAAGAATATGGTTAAGTGAAAGAGTTAATTATAATTTTTTTGTTTGTATTTTTCTGGAAAGGAATTACTTCGAGACCAAAGAGAGTACATATAAGGCATTAACCTGTTACACACTCAGTCTGTTTGAAAGAAAAACAAGACATAACACTATAAATTAGGTACAAATATAAGATTTTACCTGAGAAGGAAAAGGTGCCACAACTTGAACACAAGTCACATACACACAACATGATGGCCTTTTAAGTTAGCAGAATGCTGAGAAATCAATTTAAAAGTCTTTCCTAAATTTTGGACACTGGTTAGACTGTTGTGGTCAGATATTCTTTCAAACAGTTAAGTTTCTGAGTAATTCTGTGGGACTTAAGACAGTTGGGCCGTACTGGCTTTGTTTCACGCTGGTAACACCCTCACAAGTGCTCATAACTCATCTAAAAGTTGTGCCAGTTAATTTCACCTGATTTGAAGTTTCATTCATTGAGAAGACTTTTTTCTTCTTCATCAGCCAATCGTTTGGTCTTTGACACCTCTCTGCGTATGTTTTTAACGTACACCCAAAAAAAGTAGTTTCAGCAACAGCAGAAAATTACGGAATAGAAAAATAAATATCATTCCACCTGTTCGCCTTTCATTGAAGAGCAAATGAAAATGAGAAATATAATATATTTGGACACACTTCATGATGCAAGAACTCCACGTTGGATCACGTCCGAACCATAACGTCTAGTCATCGGGCTTCGAAGTCTTTGGGCATGACACCTCTTGCCCTGTTCTGATTGGCCAAGATCAGACTCTTTCACATGGCTTCGGTTCTCACTTCCTGTCCGCAGCCGGGTCCTAATTTGATGGGAGGCGGCAGCGGGACTTGTATTAAAAATTAAGGAAGAATTTTGGTCCACCACGTCATTTCTGTCCTGTCCATCTTTCCCCGATGACGTTCTTTCACTCCGTTTAGGGATTCTGAAACTGCCCCAGTTTTTCAGATGCCGCCTACTTGTTCCATTTGCCACTATTTTTCCCTGATGTTGGCTTGAGATTGTCTTCCTTGGCGATCCGTTATATGTGGTCGAAGCAGTGACTACAGAACTAGCAGTGGTTCTGCTGTGAGACAGCAGTAATCTGTCATCCATGTTGTCATGCTCAGTCTCATTCTTCACCGTGTCCTCCATAGTCTTCGACTGTCTCAGTTTGTCTTTTATAGACACCTGTTCCCACAGCTTGCTCCTCCTCCTGTCCTCCAGGGGGCACTCGCTCTCCTCATCTCTTCTATGAGATTCACTGCCCCTCAGCCTGCCCTCCGAACGTGTCGCCATAGCTGATGCCGCCGTCTTACAACCTCCAGAGCCTGAATCAACGACCCCAGAACTGGGAACATTGTCCATGACCAGGCTTTCCAGTCTGGGCATCTTTGCAGGACTGTCTGCTTCAATATGCTTTGAGACTCTATAAATGTTGCTCCCTTTCACATGATTTTGAACAGTGGTGCCCAGGGCGCTGTTCTGGCCGCAGTGACCCTTCAAAGGCTGGGGGGATGCAGGTACAGGAGGTGCCGTCCGAAAGTAAAACATAGCCTCCTCCAGACGTCTAGTAGAAGATATACCTGACCAGGAGAGAAGGTAATGGTTTAAAAAAAAAAAAACAGATCAAATATTCTTCAAGTGTGTACAGTAAGCATCATACTGACCAGCGACACTTCCCTGCTCGAGCAGTCTGATGTGGTGATGAAAGATCTGCTCTTGCATTCTGCACAAGGTTCGTTTAATTCTTTCCCGACGACTGACCATGTATGTCAAATTACGCACCTGAACACACATATATGTAGGTGAGACATACGAATTCTACCAAAAAAAAAAAAAAGTGATAATTCACTTAAAAACGAAAATTCTGTCATCATTTACTCAACCTCATTCATTCATCTTGAGAACACAAATGAAGATATTTCTAATATGTTCTCATCCTTCTTGATGAGGTTTGTTCTTGCATGTCAAGCAAGCACGACTGAGCTTTTGTTTACATTGGATTTGCTCTATGCATGTGCAATGTTAATATATGAACAAAGGCCTAAATGAAATCTGTTCATTATTTAAAGCGATTGTCTCTTGGTTTAAACCCCTTGATTTATATGGATTCATTTTCCATTTATTTTTTAACTTTTAATGAGTGATTTGGTTGCATGGACTTTAAAGGAGACATATTATGCCCCTTTTTACAATATGTAATATAAGTCTCTGGTGTCCCCAGAACGTGTCTGTGAAGTTTCAGCTCAAAATACTCCACAGATAATTTATTATATCATTTTGAAAATGCCTATTTTGAGTGGAAGCAGAAACACGCTGTTTTTCGGGCCTGTTTCTTTAAATGCAAATGAGCTGCTGCTCCCCGCCCCCTTTTCCAGAATAGAGCTACGCCATTACAGCTCGGAGCCGCTAAAAAACATCTGTTTTGGTTCTGATTATCATGTTTAATGCCCTGAAATCATGCGTTTTAAACCATATGAGTTTAAATTTCTGATAAACGGTTTTCTCAGAGCACACATCCGAAGCACACGGACAAGAAAGCGGCTGTCACAGCATGTGAGTACTAAACTAAGTTCTAATTCACACAAGTTTACGTTAAAAACACACGAGTTACAAAAACAGTCAGTTATGTCTGTGAAGGTAAACTGCTGGGAAATAAATCGCATGTTTATTTTAGATCTGTGTGGCAGCAGCAATATACAATAAATAAATCAATAAATCCACTGCTCTCTTGTCTCCTCTGAGGCTGGGACTGTAAATAGTGTTCTGTGCTCGTCTGTGCAGCCAAAGGCAGAACAGTTAGCATGTTTTGCTCAAACTTTCGCCATTGCATTAGAACTGCATGCCGTTGTTGTCGCTTGCGAAATCAAATGACGGCGCCATGGGTGGAAACCTGGTGGATACGTACAGATTAAGGGGCGGTAATATTATAATGAGATCCCTTTGCCACGTCACCAAGGGAGCGAAATCAGACGCGCTCATTTTTTTCAGACGCTTGCAGAAAAAGGCTTACCAAAACAAAGTTACTGGGTTAATCTTTTTCACGTTTCCTTGGTTGGTAGATGCACTGGGGACCTGATTATAGCACTTAAAACCTGGAAAAGTCAGATTTTCATGATATGTCACCTTTAAATGGAAAAACAGTAAGAGAGAATATTAAAAATATCTTCATTTGTGATCCAAAGATGAACAGGTTGTGAACAACATGAAGGTTAATAAATAACAGTTTTTCATTTTTGGGTGAACTAATCATTGTGTGGAGTCAGTTTCCAAACATGGAAGACGCTCTCAGCAGCAGTGGCAATAAAGCACATAATAATCTAGAGACTTAACTACTCTGTAAAAATGGTTTATTCATCTAAAACTTCCTTTGTGCAGCGGGAATAGTTTTTAGGTTACCAATCTAAAATTCTTGTAGCTGGAGTTCACAGATAGTTATATTACATTTCCATCTGGTATCTTATTACCATAAAATTAATTAAAATTCCTCCACTTCTGATGTCTTGACTCATAGCCCATTATTTGAAAAGGGCTAGTGTGTATTTTCTTCTGGTTTGGCTAAGCAACATATTTTATAGTCTAATGGTAAAGATACAGGTGTTGTAATGACTGTGGCGTGACAGAGCGACACAGGGACAGAAATGTTGTCAAATGTTAGTGATGACACTAATTTAAAACCTTGAGAAAACACAGATTTTAGTCACAATATTGAATAAAAATAAAACATTATTAAAGGAATCCAACTGTTTATTTGAAATCATGAAGGAAAGGCAGGGAATGGAACCTGCTGTCTAAAGTCCAAAGTATACTTCGGTTTTTATGCGTATGCCAGGGACAGCGTACAGTACAGACTTGGTTTTGCACTAATCAGTTGTTCCAAAAGGTGGCAACACTAGACTGGGCCGCTGTTTCACAGTACAAAACGAAACTAAAGAGACGAACAACAACAACAAAATAGCAGAAACTGCAACAAAAACAAATGCCCGCAATGACAAGCGCTTGTGTGAGAGGGTTATGAAAGAAGTGCAAAGACATTTTTATTGGTCATAACTTCCGGAGAAAAACAGAGCATTGGTCTAAGATTAAGCTTTCTAGAGAGCCTGCGTTTGCACATGCTATCAAATGGAGTATACTTTGAAAAGCTGCGCATTAGACTGTACGTAAAAAAACTGAAGAATACTTTGGGCTTAAACAGTCTTGAGCTGTGATTGGTGGCTGCTGTCTTCCTTTATATTGTACCAAGTAGTAATGTGAGGTAATGTGGCTACAGAATGGCTTTGCAAAACTTACCCTCTCTAGATCCTGTCGTAAATGCGTGAAGAGGCGGAGTCGCCGCAAAAGCACTTCCTGTTCCTGACGGGCAAGGCTGTCTTCTTCCTCTTTCTTCGGCATGATGAGCGGCTGGTTAAAGTTCACCTTCCTTTTCAATTTCCAGTATTGGAACAGGAAGTCCACAGTTTCCAGGGGCAACTGCAGGTGCTCTGCGACTTCATCAGTGGCGACGAAGCGATAGAACTCGTCCTCCAACTGCTGAACTCGAAGTTTACGCTCACTGAGTCTGGTTTCTTCGGGGTTTTGTGCTAGCCTGGGCTGTGAAGGGGATGAGATGTTCACGCCCCTGTTTCTCCCTCTCTCTTCTCTGGTCTGGACCTTCACTGGCCTGTCATCATCTCCCTCTTCCTCATTCCAGTCCATTCCTGAGTGCTTGGGACAAAAAGACTTAAATTTGACTTCATCCGCCTCTGTGAGGATTGTGTTCATCTTCAACCCACACTGCAGACCGCAAGTCACATGGAATGCCACACGGCAACTTTTGGCAGAACACTAGGGGGATTTGGAAAGAGAGAATGTCAGGATTAAAGCACAGAAGATGGGGAAAATGTGAAGTTGATTTTTTTAAAATTATTATTAATAAATTAACAAAATTCTACATTTAAACCAAGTAGCACGGTTGCAGCATCTTGCAAAAACCAAACTGAATAAATAACACTGCTTTCGGCAGTCAGCAACTATTAATTTATTCCACAAGTGATAGCGTCCAATACCTGAGGGGGATTACAGAAATAAAGTGAAGTCATGTGATCTCAACATGTTGGCCCTCATGAGGTGACTCAGTCCATGGAAAATTAAACAGCTTTTATCAGAATACTGATATAACCTCAACCTATGTGAATGTACATAATTTCAAACATTTTTCAGAAATACTATCATTCATTTTGTATGTGTAACTTTTTTATTAAGTGAAAAGTACCTAAGTGCTTTAACCTTAAATTATTGATGGTATCAATTGATATTATTTTATTCTCCAGAGCTCAAATTGAGAGAAAATATTCAGGTTTAAAATGCACTTTGGGCCCTCTGGAAGATTTTGAATATCTGAATGAATAGCATAATAAGTAATAAACATCAGCACTGTGTACCTGAATACAAGCTCCTGTTTTCTCTTTACACAGGCAGCATATTAAAGCCCATCTGTTGCTGGGTATATGAGACACATTAGTGATAGGTTCCATCTTCTCAGGGTTACCAATGCTTACCTAGAGGTAAAGAGCACACAACAAAGACCAGTCTGAGCTCACACAATACTCTTAAAGGGGTCATGAATTGAGAAATCAACTTTTACTTGAACTTTTGATATATAAGAGATCATCATACTAAAAGAATATCCTGAAAGTTTCAGACCTGAAAACGTCCTTGTTACTGAAATAAAAGCTTTAATTTCACCAGGCCCAGCAAACGCCAGATCCTGGAATGTGCCTACCTTAGGTAGGTTAAACACCACCTCCACGGAAGAATATCAATGCCCAATTCTGTAGCCCCGCCCACTGAATCGCACATGACATAGTAGGGAAATAATGTAAGTGGCGCTAAACCGGATCGAGCAACCAAGCAATAAACATGCTGTTAAAGATTGCAAAATATTGTGCAGTGCCTGGTTGTGGAAGAACACAGTTGCTGCATGACCTTCCTTTGGATTCAAATATTAGGAATGTGTGGTTGAACTTTATATTTAACGAAGTTTCAGCTCACGCGAGTAAAACATTTAGCGTTTGTTCGCTTCATTTCACCTCGGATTCCTTTGTAAACAAGACACAGGTCGACGCTGGATTTTCAGAGAGACTGAGATTAAAAAGCAATGCTGTGCTGTCTATATTGGATCTGACGGGAATGGCGCAGCACACTCATGTGAGTAAAAAATATTTTGTACTGTGTCACTATTGCTTTGTTTGAGATAGCTTGATGTCCTGATTATGTGTGTGTGTCTAACCAAAGTCACAGAAGGCTCCAACTATGAAGGACGTAGCTTGTCAAACAGACACACAGAAGGTAGTTTACTATGCAAAGTTATTATCCAATCATAGCAGTGGGCATTTACTTCCAAGTCTTCAATGCGGCACGCCCATAAAAACAGAGCGTTTCTTGAGCCGGCCTCAAAACCAGGGTAGAAAATAGCCTATTACCTATTGATTTTGATATTTTTGAATGTAAAAAACATGCGGACATCATAAGTGAAACAATATAAAATAATAAAAAAGCCAGTTCATGACCCCTTTAACAAAATTACTTTATAAGACTTGCATGCATCCTTACTTCTGGTATCCAGAGAGCACAGCTAACGTGGACCCACTTGGTGCCACTGCGAGTGGGTTTCATGGCCCCACCTTTTTTAGGACACAGATGGCATTTGGGAAAGATGCCCAGTGCACAGGTACGACAAAGCCAGCTGCCCTCAGGAACCTTCAGTATACCATAACATGCCTGTGGGGAGGTACATTGTTATATAATTATGTGCTTGCACATGCATTCAGACACTCAGGTGCACAAACACATACACACACACACACACACACACACACACCTGATGCACACAGATGTTGCACTTGTCACAGAACACCATTTCGTTGCCGTCCTCGCCATCAGGGGACTGACAAACGTCACACACCACGTCTTCATCGTACTCGATGCCAAGCCCCTTCTCCGTTTCCATGGCGTGGCTCATGTTGTCATAGCAACGGTGCTCAAACTGCTCCATGACCCGCTCCATTGTCAGCTCATCCAGGAGTTGCATGCCTACAACCAAATCAGTTAGCTACACGTGACATTTGTTTCAACAGTGTGTAAGAAATTTGAGTGCATAATGGGTAAAATGAAAACTCCAGACTGTATCTGCTCACCCATCTTGCTGAACTCCTCGTTAGCAATCTGCATCCAAGCTACGTCCTCCTCATTCAGGTCATAACGACACATGCCATCAGCTAGCGTCTGAATACCCACGTATCCCAGCATCGATGACTCAGATGAGCGAATCAGCTTCTTCGGCCTGATGAACAGAGGAGCAGGGGATTTCTCAGCTACAGTGCTGCAGGTAAAAAAGAAAAATAGGATTAAATCAATGGCATCCATTAAAGATGAATAGTTTGACAGGTAAAAAAAACAAAAACCTCATACCACACTGTACACTGCGGTATGGAGTCGGGACTAACAGGGACTTGAACCCCTTTCTCCCACTCCTGCCGCCAGGGATCTGCCAGCTCATAATAATCCTCTGGATTCAGCTGGTATGAATCATGCAGCTTCATAGCAGTGATCAGGTCTGTCCTGAACACCTGGAGGAGAAAGAAAAGAGGGGGTGTGACTATCAGAATATGCATGAAAAGATTTGTGACAAATATCTACAATAGAGGTGTGCGATATATATCGTCTGCGATAATATCGTAATTGTTGTTTTAACGATGTGCGATTTGACATTATCGAGTATTTTGCAAAAACCATTCAAAACATCCCTACTCGAGATATTATTTTTTGTCAATATCGCACACCCCTAATCTACAACATTATCATCTTAGTCTGTTAGGGTCGTATGTGAGGTGGTTCTGAGGGTGAAGCGTTTCTTTGTACCTCTGAGGGTCTTTTTCCATTCTGTTTCATGTGCTTGGAGTTGGAATGCTGAGACCAGGATGTGGAGTTACCTGAAAGAGACAGTAAGACTGCTGAATCTTGTGCTGAAGATTCAGAGAAAGAGGGATACTTCATGTTATTAGCAGCATTAATAGTTATATTAGTTTCAAAAAATGGCAGTATTAGTTTTGCAGAAGGAGAGGGCTTGTGACACATAAATAAAATTATAATATATATAATATATTAATTATAATATAATATGAATGATGTGGACAGATAATTTATAATAAACATATTGCAAAAATAAGAATTGTCCAATCTTGATTTCATGGTGACTTTAAGAACATGCAACTTCAGTATTACCAGAAGGGTAATATAGATTACTCGAGGCAAGTTTGGTACTAGAAAATAAAGTGTCTGTCTACTTACTTCCATTATCTGAGTCCTCACTGGTGCTCGGGACACGGCTTCGCTTCATCGTCAGCTGCCGTGGCCTTCAAGTGATGCAGAAATCTGCAGAGGTTGATCAAACATTAGCAGAACATTCCTGAAAACTGATCCTGCAGAGATGACTGGTGAGTGCACTGCTTTCCCCCAGCCAGCCACAACTTGACTGAAGCCAGCAGAGACAGGCAAATTCAGAGTTAAAGAAGACTTTACAAGCCAAACTCAACTTAAAGACTACGTTAAGATACTTTATATTAAACTTTATATAATCCTGCTTTTTGAGCTTAATATGCAGAATCAATTTATAAGTAATTTGTACGCCGATTCCTCCAAAACGTGGTGCTATCCAACCACTGCTGTTTGGTTGAGCACCGCAACATAACATTGGTGCAACCAATCCCGTGGGTCTGAAGGCAGGACTATCTGTTGAATAGACCAATGACAGACTGAAATGCTCGTGAAATGTACAAACTTCACCTTAAAGGGTTAGTTCACCCAAAAATTACAATTAGGCTGTTTTACTCACCCCAGAGCCATCCTAGGTGTATATGTCTTTCTTCTTTCAGACGAATCCAGTCG